GCTCTTTAATGTCCTTGTAACAGTTGCTTCCGCAGCTTAGTGGCTGCACACGTGGCGCTGTGACGGCTCTGGGGAGGGGCAGAGACCTGCTGGACCTGCCACGGCTGCTGCCTTTGAGACTGCCCGGCGTCTGTGCCTCTGCTGGGCCAGACCAGGCTGGAAGCGAGGAACAGGGGCTACCGGCTTCGAGAGAGCTCTTGGCTGGCTTTCCCCAAACCTCCTGTTGTCTTTGTAGGACAAGAACTCTCGGCCAGGGGGTTTCGGAGCCTGGGAGGCGGCCAGGGCTCGCAGGGCCGCCTCTGTACACAGCCAGGGCCCCGGAGGCCGAGGCACAGGGCTGGCTGGTGGCGTGCGGGCAGTACTTCTGATGCAGCATGTCAAACCTGGCTTCAACCTCTCGACGGTGAGCCAACCGCAGGCTCTGCATCGCTCTGGCTCGCGACATGTTTTTCACGGGAGAGATCAACCACGTGAGCGCCAAGAGCCTGTTCTCCCGATCAGGACTGGACATGGCACTGGACCCTAAGGAAGCATATTTCCAGGGAGCCGCTTGAGGCTCCTTCCAGCTTGGAACCAAATGACGGGCTTGGGGCTCGTGGACTTTGAGGGGAGCTTTCTTCGACTGGAACCCTTCCCAGTGGCCAGGGAGCGCCAGCAGGTCCTCTGGTTCTTGTGTTGCCCCGGCCTCTCTGGCAGGCTGGGCCCGGTTGGGGCGCCGCTCTCCAGGACCCCGGTGCGCGTGGCTGTCCCTTCTGCAGCAGGCTCGACTCATTCTGCCCTTCTGCCTGGGCCTCCGCCGACCGCTCCAGTTCTGGACGACGAAGGTCCTGGTGGCGATGGTGCAGGACGGCTTGGCGCGCAGCAGGCGGGTCATGGAGTGCAGCATGCCCTCGTACAAGTCGCTGATGGTCACGTCACCGGCCTCCTCAAAGGACGGGCTGCCGGCTCCTGGTGACACAGGACTGTCACCCCTCGGCACCACCGCCAAGTCGGTTGAGGGGTTACATGGTCTGAGAGACAATGCCGGCAACACGGGGCCACTGGGGCTCTTTGGGGAGATGTCGCCAAATCCTCCTAGGAGGGAAACCAGAGGGAAGGTGTGTTACCAGCCAGATGCAGACCCCGGGACTGGAGAAGGGCCAGTATGGCTGACAGGAAGGCCCAGAATCACCACCACTGACACGCAGGAGCAGACTCCTCTCGGAGAGGTTCCTTCCCCAACCACAGTTAAACGTCTACTTTCTTTGCCGCCTGTCTCCAAAGGAGGCTTGCTCCTCCTGTGAGATGGTTCAGAGCAGAGGTTCTCAACCTGTGGGCCACGATCCCTTTGGGGGTGGGGGTGAGTCGGGGTGGGGTGGGGTGTTGAACGACCCTTTCCCAGGGGTCGCCCGATTCATCACAGTAGCAAAATGATAGTGATGAAGTAGCAACAAAAATAATGTTATGGTTGGGGGGTCACCACCACAGGAGGAACTGTATGAAAGAGTCGCAGCATGAGGAAGGTGGAGACCCACGGGTCTAGGTTATCTTTTCAAGGTGGGAAATTATGAGATTGTGTGTCTGTAGGTATTGGGAGGTGGGGGGGCAACAAGACGTCTGCACCTGCCCCCCACTGAATGTCACACCATGCTGGATGTGTGCTTCAGGGGGCGTCCAAAGAGAAGGCGACCCATCCTCTCGGCTCTTCCTCCTGGATGGCAGTGAGAAACCCCCACTGCACCCCCCCCCACTCCCCCCCCAGCCTATCTACCGCTGCGAGGGCTCCGTTCCAATCAAGTGGTACGGCAAAACTGACCAAGCCTCACGCAGAGTTCCACATGCTTCATCTGCACAGCCCTGACCCACACGGGTGTGTGCGCGTCACGTACTCTATTGGCACCGGTGTCTTTGGATACACTCACCCAGTTGGGCAGGACAGCGTTGTGGTTACTCACCATGGGCAGGACTGGCTAATGACTGGAGCAGGGGCACCTGGGTGTCCCCTCTGCCTCTGCCGTCTGCATGCTGAAACCAAAGCACATGGTTATAACGAATCAACTGCCCGATGCTGAGCCTCGGGGTACCCCAAGCGGAGCACCCCTGCCCTGTCCCCAGCGCGACGGTGCCGAGGACCGTGAAAGGAACGGCTGTTCGGACCCGGCACAGTCTCCTCGGCCCAGCAGCTGACAGCATGCAACCACCACACCACCATGGCTTTGGACTTCCAACTCGACGGGAGTGGTCCTCGTGTCCCCTCCAGGACAGGCTGTCCTCGCTACTCTAGGGCCTGGCCTCCCTGCTGGTCATGCGGGAGATCGGGATTGATTCCCTTAAAAGAAGCCGGGGGTGCAGTCGTCATCACAGCTCAGCATTTTCAAGCCCTAGTCGCTCAGCAGGGGAGACTCTGGCTTCCTACTCCCAGAGTGACCTCTCGGAAACCCATGGGGCAGTTCTACCCTGCCCTAGAGGGCTGCTAGGATGGCAGCGAGGTGGCCTGGGGCACCAGAGGCATAGCAGAGCCAGCACCGTGGGCTTCCCTGCCTCTTCCGGGTGAGAGGCATGTGCAGTGCGTTCCTGAAAGGAGTCCCGTGGCCCAGTGGTGACACACGGCTGCTTTCTGAAGCAGTGTGAGTCCGTCAGCTGCTCGGGACACAGACCAGGGGGTCTGCTTCCGCAGAGACGACGGCCTTGGAAAGCCTGCGGGGCCGTTCTGCTGTCTGGGAGGGCTGGCGTGCTTCCGCCTCAAGCCCACCCACCTACCTCATGACCTGCAAATGGTCTTCTCTTGCCTTACCGAAGGCACAGTACCTATGGAGACGCAGAGTACTGCTACGGGGCCGCGAGCCTGGCTTTACTCTAACAAGAGGCGGATCTACGCACGTCTGTGCCCAACGACTGCAGCGCTCTCAGCCATACACTTGCCGCAGCCTCGCTGGGAGGGCTTTGCAAAAGGGGTACTACTTTGTGTGTCACGGAAAGATGATTTTGAGGTGACAGGCGATCCTGCTGCTGACCCGCCTTGGGCCACACCTGAGGTGGTTGCCGCTGTAAGTCCCTTAATCCCAAAGCTGGGGCTGACCCCAGGAGTCCCTCCCCTCCAAATGCCAGCTTCCCAAACGAGTTGCCCCAGTGGATCAGAGAGGGCCTGGTGGCGCAGCATTGAGGCTCTTGGCTGTAGATCGGGGTTGCTGAGTTGGGGCCCAGTGGTCACCCAGGAAGTCCCGGGCACGAGCTGCTGAGATAGCTGTGGCCCCGCGTGCGGCACCCCACTCCCCACCGCGCAGGCACAGAGAGCTGGCGGGCAGATTACCTCGGAGCCCCAGTCCCCCTGCAGCAGCACGTCCACCTGGGTCAGGTATTTCCTCCGCAGGTCGTTTTTCAGAGGGCTCGGGGGCACTGCAGGCTGAGCAGAAACAACAGGGCCATCGAACTCCGCATTCTGGGAAACACACACATGCACGCACGCGTGCATTCCCTGGACCCGCTCTTCTGCCCACCCATGACGTCCTCCCACAAGGAAGGTGGCGGTTCAGACACCTGCCCCTTCTCCGCCCATCACCACCTCGGAACCAGGGAGCAGGGACACAACCCAAATGTTCTGGGGAGCTGTGCGGCCCGGCAGCAGCCAGTATGGTTGGGGATGGGGGGGCTTCAGGGGGCATCCCCCCACCCCCCCACCACACAGCCTCCACTTGGATCTTGGCAGCTGTGTGTGTGTGTGTGTGTGTGGGGGGGGCACAACACCCACAAGGGGGCTTCAGACAGTCCGTGGAAAAATACCAAGCTCTTTCCTCCCATTCCCACCAGCGTTCTAAAGCCCACTTCTATTGTTGGGGAGAGGCCGGCCCCCCGGTCAAATGTCCTATCGGGCCACTGTCCTCCCCTTCTCTGCCATTCCCTAAAATGAGGACCCCAGCCTCCGCTCTAGACTGGGGAAGGGAGGCAGACACGTGGGTGGGGAGGGCCCCCCTTAGGGGGGGGTGTGGCAGTCACAGCCCCCAGAACATGTGGGCAGCCTGGGCACCTGTGGCCCCAACACAGGCCCTCTTACCATCAGGGACATGGCCAGCGCCTCACTGTGGTCTAAAACTGCCGTCACATCAGGGCTCCTGGAGTCTAAAGGTAAGAACAGGCGTCCAGATCACACTGTCTAGGAAAGCGCAAGCCCCCTTACCCCCCAGAGAGCGCTCAGTCCGAGGAAGCACGCGCTTCAAGTGTGCCACGCTCGGGCAGGGCCACCTCCGGCTGCTGTGCGGTCACAGCAAGACCCACAAAAGTGGGACCATGCCAGGTGGAGGCCGCCAGAGAAGGGAAGTGGGACTGCTTCCCACTCCCAAGAGAGGCCCCAGCCATGGGGTTTCCACGGCCCCCTCCCAGATGCATTCAAGTGACAGTGCTGGCAAAGGCTACTAAAAGGACAAACGGCTCTGTCCGGGAAGAAGTGCAGCCGGAATTCCTTGGAGGCCAGGAGATGAGACGTCCTCTCCTGTACTGGACGTGTTCTCTGGAGAGCCCAGGCCCCGGAGAAGGCCATGCTTGGCAGTGTAGAGGGGCACTGGAAAAACAGGAAGGCCCTCACGGCGGACTGACACCGTGGCTACAACAGGGCGCTCCAGCAGGTGCAGGGCCAGGTGTTCGTTCTGTTGTGCACGGGGGTGGGGGGCGCTGGAGCCAGAGCCGGCTTGATGAGAGCTGACAACTTCACGTGGGATAGGAGAGTGGGGAGACGCCTCCCCATGAAGGAAAAGCTTTGTGAGGACACCCCCCTACCCCCCACCCCCAACAGAACCGTCTCTGAGGATGGTGCACACTATCGGCTGTTGCCTGGCAGCCACCTGTGGCCTTCCCACATCTGAAACCAAGAGACTGAGGCAGAGGGACAGGATTTTAAGTGAAAGTCCACTTTCACGCCCAGCCTTGTGTGGTTGGGGGCTACCCCTCCCTGGCCGAGCACAACCCTAAAGCAGCCCCTCCCACCGGTCTCCAGCAGGCGGGGGGCTCCCAGGATGGAGGGTCCGTGGCGTTAAGTCTGGAAGGACCCTGAGAAGCCAGCTGCATGGCGTCCACTGCTCCTCTCTAAGGTCACTCTGAAAACGCTTCTGTGTCCCTTCCCTTCCCAATGCAGTCAGTGAGTTGTCTCAGAGGATGAGTGTGGTCCTGACGGGCGCGGCAGCCTTCAGCCAGGGGGAGGGCAGGCTGGGCTGGAGCCCAGGCCCCCCCGGAGGTACCCGGGTCGTTCCAGGAAAGGGCACTGACGTGAGAGGGACTGTGCCCCCTGGGCAGGGGAGCAGATGACAGCCCGGGGCAGGGTGTGGCGGGTAGGGGCGCATGGAGGGAAGTCCCCATGGGCACCACAAGGAAGGAAAAGGGGCAGGAGGGAGCAGCGCTGGGCACCAGCTCATACTGTAGGCAGTCCTCAGCTTGTCACACACACACACACACACACACACACCACTCTTGAGACGCCCACTGACCTTCGTCTGTAGCTCTCTTGGGGTCGTCCACCCAGCTCCCTGACGTTTCAGGGGATCCCTGCAGATGGACATGAAGGTGCCCTGGCTTCAGTAAGCATATAACTCTCCAGGCCCCTGCCCGCAGCATCTCCAAAAACAGGCGCCTCCCCAGCCCAGGCCAGGAGGTGGTGGTTAGTACACACCGATGCAGTGTTCGTAAGCAGGCATCTCCCATGCCCCACCAGGGGGTGGGGTGGGGTACACAACATACTCCAGGTAGCCAAACTCCATGGGACAGACTGCCCCATCGCTCTCCCTGGGAGAGGAGGGTGGGTTTGAACCGGCGACCTTCTGGTCACCAGAGGAGCACTTTAACCATCGGCCTCCCTTCTTTTCTCACCCTCTCCCCACCACCATGAAGACCTCAAAACCCCTCGGGCAGCCCGAGACCCCCAGGGCTGTGCTGCTGTACAAGCAAGAGAAGGGCAGGGAGGGCGGGAGGCACAGGCAGGGCCTCTGCTCACCCACCAGGCTGAGCCAAGCGAGGCGCGGCCGACGAGGACTGCAACACAGAGACTCCACGGGCCCTAGGGGGCTTCCAGACATATGCTCCAGGCTCCTGGGGGACCGTCTAGGACACGAGGGTGCCCAGAAATCTGGGGTGTCCGCTTCCCTTTGGTGGGACTCAGCACAGAGGGCACCACCCTGGGTGTAGTGCCAACAGGCACGTGAGCAACAGGCGCAGGCAGGGGGCTGGCCTATCAGCAGTGCGGTCAGGTGTGAGCTGCTGGATCTCGAGGGGGCCAGGATCCCCTGCTCCTCAGGCCTCAGTGACCACCACTGCAGTGAATGCCAGACCCCAGGGAACAGGGCTCACATTCCCGTTCCCATTGGTAGCCCTCTCCAGCAAGGTGTGTGGGCCGTGCCACTTGGCGTTGAGTACCTGAGCATGTCCTCCGAGTCTGTGCTGGACCAGCGCTCCGCCCCACAGCCTCCGCCCTGGAAAGAAAGAGCCGCCACTCAGCCAGCTGGGATGTGGACGTCCTTCCACCTCCGGCCAAAGGCCATGGAAGCCAAACCCGCTCACCACCAAAAGCCAGAGGCGAAGATCCAGTCCGTGTTCACCCCTCTAGGGCTAAGGGTTTGTTGGCATTTAAAACAGAGATTGGACCAAAAATGGCCACAAATGAAATTTTCTTCTTATAGCCAGCAGTTCCTCCAATGACATCATGGGCTCCTCTACCCCCTCCCGGGAGCCCCCCCACCCAGCTTACAAAAACAAGAAAGCTGAATACTGGCCCCAGTACACCACACGCTGTGGCCCAACTCAAACTTAAACTCATGCCACTGAGTCAATGCCAACTCACAGGGACCAACCTCTAGGGCAGGTAAGAACTGCCCCTGTGGGTGTCCTAGATTGTAACTTTCCAGAAGTAGAATGCCTCATTTTTCTCCCACAGAGCAGCTGGTAGCTTCAAACTGCTGACCTTGAGGCATAACCACTATGCCACCAAGGCTCCTAAAAGCTTCGTGGGGACCCACATACATGGAACCCACAGCAGACGGAGTTTCAAAGGGTAATCTCGGCATATTTTAAAGCGAACCCTAAAAATACCCCGCAAACCAGAACTCACTGCATCGAGGTGGCTCCCACTCAGGCACAGCAGCGGAAGAAGAGAATTGCTCCGTATGGCTTCTAAGCCTGTCAGTCTTCAAGAGGGCAGACAGCCTCATCCTGCTGCCATGGAGTGGTGAGTGGGTTCGAACCACTTACTCCACAGTAGGCAGTTGAACACTTAGCCCACGGAGCCACCAGGGCTCCTTAGAGCAATCCTGAGCACGCCTGAGAGCTGAGGTTTGGATAGGGGTACCTACTCCGGCCACACCCACCCTATAAGGACTCCCCGTTTTGCAGGCACCATCACCAGTAGCGACGAGGGTGAAGGGAAGCGGGACCCCACGTTATCATAAGGTTGGTCCCACAACCTTCAATTCCCACGGCCTCTTATCCCCCAGAACGTCCAGTGGGTGCTAAGTGACACCTACAAGCAGAAGCTCAAGGGCAGCTGTTCCAACTCAAGTCCAACAGGAGTCTGAGCACCTGCAGGCACTGTCCCGAGAGCTTCCCATCCACCCTCATGTGGCTGCTACCCACATTGGGGCCACCCTGCCCTTCCCACAGATGAAATTCACAGCTGAGAATGGGGGCTGGGCCAGGTTCGGCAACTGGCCACTGGGATAGGGTGACAGAGAATCCAGGACGAGGAGCTGCTCGGGGAACCAGGTGTTTGTCTTCAGGGAGCTCCTTCCTGATTCCACCAACTACAGTTGTCTTCCCCAAAGACACTGCCAGCATTCCAGAACTTCACAGGCAGGCCGCCGCGACTCAGAACCCAGCTGACCCTTACCCTCGGGCGTTTCATAGGTCAGCGTGGTCATCTCCACCAGAGGCGCGTCCTCGAAGGGCTGGTTGTACTGCAAAGGCAAGGGGAGAGCCATCAGGTCGGGGGTCCGACTGGCAACCAACGTCTCCACTAACCCCACTTCCTTCAAGTCTATGGAAGAGATGGGGATTTCCCCTACATCCACTCTCCCAGCTCAGGGACCCCGCCTCCTCCTCCTCCTGGCGCACCCTCCCGGAATCTGGTCCCAGTCCCGGTGCAGCCTCCGGTCTGGTCTCTGCACTCCTGCCCCATGCTCCCATCCCCCCGGCCCCCTCCCAGCACCTTCCAGGGGTCTGGGCCCCTGCCCTCCTCCCCCACCTGGACCACGCCTCCTCCTCTGGTCCCAGACCTGCCTTTCCAGTCATCACCCCTGGCCCTGGACTCGCCTCCCCGCTCCCAGCACCTTCCCAGTACCTGGGTCCCGGCCCTGTCTCCCCTTCCATTGCGTCCCCGCACCCGGGTCCCGGCCCCGGGTTCGGCCGCCGCTTCCATCCCGAGCAGAGCCGCACCTTCTCTATAAGCTGCTGCATGTGCCTCTGGAAGCGACAGCGGCTGTCCCGGAGCTTCTGTGCCAGGCTGGCATCGGTCAACGATGACGCTCGCCGCTGGGCCGCCATGCCGCTCAGGCTGCGGCTGCTGCTGCTGCACTCGGACCCGGGCGCGCCGAGAGCCGCTCCCGCCGCGGTTCAAACTTGCTGCTCCCGCCCTCCTGCGGATCCCGGCCGTCGATTGGCTGCTGCTGCGAGGCGCTGATTGGGCCTTTCAAACGCGTTTACGCCAGGTCCTCTCGGCCAATCCGCGCCCTAGCTCTCGGCTCCGCCCCTTCCCATGCAGAGGCCGGCGGGCGGCTCTGGCAGCAGCCCTGTGTTGGCTCGGGAACTCCGGACCTCAATCTTGTGAGCCAAGTAGGCATGGTGTGTGCATTTTGCAGGGAGCTGATAATGAAAAAAAGTGGGGGTTCCAGGCCACCCTGTAATTCCATAAGGAAAGACCCTGATGTACACGCTCCCTCATTTTACACCAGGCAGCATTCCCTTGTTCTGTTTGGAATACTGCATCTTGATCCGTGTACAGGTCCCGTAGGCGCACAATGCTCTGGGATTCTCAGTCTTCCCAAGGCTGTCCATAGTTTGTTATGATCCACACAGTCCAATGCCTGCGTGGCATGAGAAGACAAACCCCAACCAACCGAACAGATCAAGATGCTGACAGATAACAGACATCACTCAAAACCCAGCTAGTCCATTCGTACCTGAAGGGACCTGGTAAAGTGGAGTAGGACTCCCATGGAGAGTCCAAGAATGTCAATTCTTAGAGAGCAGACCGCCACTGTTTCCTCCCCTAGAGAGAATGGTGAGTGCTTTTTCCTGTATGTATCACAGGATGCCCCCAAAGATAATTCTTTAATTTAATGCCCGATGCACATATATTTCCCCCTCACATATATAGTTTTTTTATCACATAATGTGGTGCAATGGATTGCTTTTCTATGGCCTTGTTTCCCCAGGGTCTCCTATCAAATGACTGGGTGAGACTATACAGAGAAGGTGCGTTGGATTGGATAGCTTACTACTAATGCATATAATGTGCACAGCTCCCCTATGAGAGTGGGGCCGTGCAAATACAGCACTGGGAACCCTGACCAGGAAACTGGCAGTTTTGCTAGGCTTAAAGTGAACTACCCTAAAGAGGAAAGAGAGGGTCTCACGGCCACTAAAAGGACAACATGGGGGCAGGTCCCTGTGCTGAGAACCTGCTACCTCCAGGAACCTGCAACTAGAGATTGTGCAAGATGGAGCAGGGGAAAGGCAACAGCACAAAGAAGGCTTGAGAGAGTCGGTGCGACGGCTTCCCAGCTACAGAGCAAGGCAGTGATGGTGTGCTCACTCATGATGCAAGAGAGCTGAGTACTTCCGGCTGAAGCTTTACCCCTGGTGACGTATTGAGAAAGATGAATACGTATTGCAGTGGGCAAACCTGTATGAGGCCTCTTTAAAGTATTACAGAGCAGGGCTGTTGCTTTGGGGATTAGAGTGGGCTTGACCCAAGCCCTGGTCTTTTCAATCATATGTACAAATAAGGGAGCCCAGAGAAGTGGTGCATTTAAATCACGGTGCTGACAAAGACTACTGAAAGGAGCAATCTCTCTGGAAGGGATTATAGCTATCACGCTCCTCAGAAGCTAGTGTAGTGAGATTTCATCTCACGTACTTTGGAGGCAGGGTTTCCGTCTCTGTAACCCTTCTTTGAGGAATACTGTGTTCTGCCCTTCACACGACAACAGTGTTGGCATCCTTCAGGGATCCACATCGGGTTCCTTTTAAATGCTGAGCCTAGAGGACAGCACCAAATCTGAAGGCACGAGATCAGGGCTCTCGGTGGGTAAGGTAAGGTTCCCAACAAAATTCATGTAGGACCGTCCTTGCTACTCTAACAAAAAGGAGCAGTTGCGCTGTTGTGATAGAACAACAACAACAACAAATCCCTTAGAGCAAACTTTCTGGCCTTTCCTTCACCGATGCAGTTTTCGATTTCCTTCCAACCTCTTCCTCACAAACTCCTCGTATTGTCCTGTCTTTCAAGGAAATCGAGCAAGATTATCTCTTTGAAAAACCAATTCTGAGTTGACCTGTCTGCCTTGAATTGACCTGCAGGTCCCATCCGAAGTCACTGTCTTGATTGCACCTGCTTTTGAAGCCATTGGACACTGAATAAGGAAGACTGAACCGTAATGGATGAGTTTAAGTTGTGGTGCTGGCAGAGACTATGGAAAGGACCATGGATTGCTGAAAGTACCAAATCTGTCTTGTAAGAAGTACGGCCCGAGTGCTCCTTAGAGGCAAGGACGGTGAGATTTCATCTCGTGTACTTTGGACATGCTGTCAGGAGGGACCAGTCTCTGGAGAAGGACAGCCTGCTTGGTAAAGTGCAGGTGCAGAGAGAGAGACTAGGCACCCAGTGAGGATGGGCACAGTGCCTGCAGCAATGGGCTCAAGCTTAGAAGCAATTGTGAGGATGGCCCAGGACAGGGCAGTGCTTCGTTGTTGTGCACAAGATCAGGATGGGTGGGGACTGATTCCATGTCATTGGAGAACAACAGAACATCTTTGAAAGGAGTACAGCCAGAAGGTTCCTTAGAAGAGATCACGGGGACACTTTAACCCAAGCACTTTGGACATGGGGTCGGGAGGGGCCAGTCCTTGGGGAAGGTCCCCATGCTCAGTAAAGCTGAGGGTCAGTGAAAAAGAGGAAGATGGGCAACAAGGTGGGTGCAAACACGACAGCGGTTGTTAAGGACGGTGCAGAATCAGGCAGTGTTTCCTTCTGCTTCAGAAAGCGGAAACCAGCAGAAAGGCACCCAACAATCACCAGCACACACCCTCCTCTGGCCAGTCCCCGGCCGCCCCAGCCCTTAGGCCAGCTAAGGATAGTGGAGCCTTGCCCCAAATTCCTAATCCCGCTCCCTCTTCCCCCAATCCCTGGCATCCTAACCATGTGACCCCAGGAACCCTCAGCTGCTACCAGACTGCTTTCTCATCCCTCCTCGGCCCCATGCAACAGGAAAGGATCACAAGGCATCGCCTTCCCCAGTACCGGAAGTGGAACCGGAAGTGGCTAGGTGCAACCCTCCTGGGATCATAGACATTCTTAGGCAGCAGAGCTACAGGATCCCTGTTCTCCATGAGGGGCTGCACTTGCAGAGCGCCCTCTGCTGACCTGGCGGAACTGCCAATCGCTCAAAGTATGCATACCAACCCCCTCCCCCGTTGTCACCGAGTCAATTCCAGCCCCGAGCAACACTGTCGCGTACAGGGTTTCCGAGGTTCTGTGCTTCTTTGCCAGAGCAGACATCTTTGTTTCTCAGAATGGCTGGTGGGTTGGAGCCAGTTAGCCGTCCAACACTGACCCGACAGTCCCCCTTCCCCACCCCAGGGCTCCTCAAAGTGTCTATGAAGCTCAACCCCCATCTCGTTGATTCTGACCTATTGAAACCCTGCATAGGTAGGCTGTAAATGTTCACAGGATCGGACAGCAGGTGGTCTTGAACCGCCAACCTTGTGGCTAGCTGCCCAATGCTGGCCCAACGGCGGCTCGTACAAAACAGTTTTATTTTATATCCACACTCCTAAATGGGCCCGGAATGTGCTCCAACCAACACAGGTGGGATTTATTCTGGATGCAATAGACATGTTAATGAGGTTGTGATGGTAAGGCATGGAAGATATCACCGCCTGCCTGTGCCTGGTCCCAGCGTTGCCATGGAAACCGCGATGCACAACCACCTGAGATGAATTATATTATCCTCTAGCCGTCCCGCACCCCCACCCGTTGCCAATCTGGCTGCTAAGTGAACACCTTTCCCTTGTTCTGCGGCTGATGCAGAGAAGCTGGGAGGGTGGTGGCAAGGAGCTCACTTGCCACGAGGTGTCAGTCAAAGCTCACGAAAGGAGAGTTGCTTGACAAAGTCTTGTTTCTTTTTTACCTTCTAGGCGGCTCCAAGACGGAACCCCAAAGCACCCAAACTCGTTTCTTCAGTGTCAACCCAGACTCCTGGCGACCCCGGTGCATTAGAATATAATTTGCTTCATAAGGTTTTCCATGGGTGATTTTTTTTTTTGGAGCCCATTGCAGCCAGGCCTTTCTTCCGAGGCACCCTTGGGTTGACCTTCAAGTTTTTGCTGTGTTAGCTCTTTGCACCACCGCCTAGAGCCTCCTCTTTCTCACCTGGCCACCTGCTCTCGGGCGATGGTGAGCACGGTTGCAGCCGCACCTGGGTGGTTTTAAAGAAGAGAAATGAATCTCCTCAGGTGTGTCTTTGGGAGACTCGAAGCCAGGTTCAGGGCCCTGGCTCCCAGGGAACTCTTTCTCTCTCTCTCTCTCTCTCCCCCTCTGTGTCAGCTCAGAGGGAGGGTCTTGGGGGCCTTCAGCTTCTGTCCCGTGGCTTCACAGCCGTCTTCACGGGGGCACCTCTCTTCCCTCGTGGGTGCTGGCTGTCTTTCTATTCCACTGCACTTTAGGTCCCTCCGAAGTGATTCCGTCTGGGAACGACCTGACGATGCCTTTACTCGGCTAATAAAGTTCCCTAATGGAATGACTCCCGATGGGACTAGGATTCCACATATATTGATGGCGGAGGGGCTGGGGTGGGGTTGTTTGGCACACAGGGCACCGTTTAGTCCGCAGCACTTAGGAAGCGCTTTTGCAACGAGGTGCTTTCTATCCCCGGCATCACTCCTGTGGGGTGAACAGGCCCAAGCGCCTTGCTGAGAGCGACCTTGTGGCACAAGGGTGGCGGTGGTGACGTCAGAACCTGCCTCCCTTCAGCGGGAGGAGAGAATGTCACCGCTGGCAAGATGCTGATTGGCATAGGGGGATGGGCAGGCATGCCTCCCCTCCACACCTTTTTACCAGTGGCCTATGCCTTCCCATCATAGGCGATGCACTCAGCGAGCGCCTGGAAGGCTTTCCCCAAAGAGGACCTGGCCACTCGCTCAGCTCCTGTGCCCCTGCAAGCAGACAGGTGCCTCTCTGCCTCTCAGGCCCCACTCTCCCTTCCCTTAGGACAGGCCTCTCTTAGTCCCGGTCAG